TGATTTATTAAGATGGAGACCATTGGTGATCTTTCTACATTGACTGCAGTGGCCTGAGGAGAAAACTGGATTGAGACCCAAAGTTTAGGAAGTGGAGATAGCCATGTGGACAGTTTCCAAGAGAAGGTTAACTGAGAAGAAAGACTTGGGGCAGAGTCAGTCGGAGCACAAGGAACAAAGGGAGGCTGTTGCTTTGTTTTAGGAAGGAAGATACTTGCACACATTTGAGCATTAATGGGATGATCCATTGTGAAAGGAGAGATTGATGAGGCAGGAAATGGTAAATCTAAAAGAATGCTGTTCTTCAGAAATCCCTGAGGAGAAGGGGTGGTGATCCTGGGAAGGAACACATTTTGACGGGAAGATAGACGCTTCCTCTAACATGACAGGAGGTGAGGAGGAGAAGGTGGGAGTGCATGTAGGGGTGGCGGATTGGGGTGCTTGTAGGGCTGGCAGTGAGAAGTGGGTAGAGTTCTCATCCAATGGCTTCTATTTTTTTGTGTAAAATGTGAAGTAAGGTTGATAACACAAGGGGTAGAGGGGAGTTACATCAGTGGTTTGAAGAGATGAAATGTACTGTCATTAGTCATCCAGGGTTGTGGAAAAAAGGAGCTTGCCTGTGAATCACAGCAGGACTGACCCACTGCAGAGAGGGGATGTGGAATTCTGTATTCATTATTTGAAAGTAAAACTACCATATTTTATATTCTAAGATGCACCTCTGAAATTGAGATGTATTCTCGGGTTGTTCTGTGGAATCATAGAGTTTTGGGACATGAGAGATTCCATTTGAAACTCCAGTTTCCTTTCCCACCAATAAACTCTTGAGCTGGGCCAGAAGCAGCAACCATTTCAAAAGCAGTTGCTCATAACATTTCAACAAAGCAACTGGCATTCTGATCATATGAGGACAGTAACGTATTAATTCACACCAGGGACAGTTTTGTTTAATAGCACCAATACATTAATCAATAAAATAGTCATCAAAAATGACTCAACTGGTTGGCACAAAATTAGCAACATTTTTTTCTTCTCTTCTTTATTTAACTCATGCATTTACCTTATCATTCTTTTTTCATAAAAACCTCATGCTTTCCCCTACATGTGTGGGATACTTTTCTGGTTGCCATGGAACCTGTGCTCCCCCAAGTAAACTTCTGAGACCCCCCCAAAAAAGACTTCTGTTCTTTGTCAGTTTTGCCTCCTTTTCTCAGCTGATAGTCCCATAGTCCTATATGATTGTTTAGAGTTTAATCATCAGCTTTGTTTTTTCTTAGTGGGCCATAAGACAAAGGGAATCTTATAATCAATGGCATCTTAGAGTCAGTGACATATGGCAGTTTTATCCCTAACAAGATGATCTACTTGTGTGTAGACATGAAGAAGCCACTTATTTCAGGGTTGGGTTTCAAAAACAAGATGAATAGGTAACAGCTTGACCAAAGCTGTCAATCTCAAAGAAGCCCATTTGAGCCCACTTAAGGAATAATGTCATTGTAGTGGGATGATGAGCATAGCTTCCTGAGGGGCTCCATTCTTCATTATTGGAAGTATTTCATCTGATGTTTAGTCTACAAAGCCAATCTCAAAGTTCTTTGGCCAGGTTAAGGCTTTATTACAAAATTCTCTTGCAAGCCTAGCTATCATAAAACAACAGTTCAGAGATGCCTGGGTGGCTCAGTCAGTTGAGCATCCAACTCTTGACTTTGGCTCAGGTCAGGACCTCAGTGTTGTGAGACAGAGCCCCCCCATGAGGCTCTGCGCTCAGTGGGGAGTCTGCTTCTTTCCTTCTTCTCCCTCTGCTCCTCCCCCCTGCTTTCTCTCTAAAATTGAAAAAAAAAAAGTCTTTAAAAACACACAAACGTGCACACAAAAGCAATAGTCCAGACTTCCTTTACCACGGTGTCCAATATTGGGTGTTCAGAATTGTATGCTAAGTGGAGGGTGGTTATGCAAGATTGGGTCCAGAGGGCCTATGTCCCTATTCATTAAATATTTATTAACTATCTGCTATATCTCAAGCAGTTTATTTTTTGGGGAAAATACAAATAAATACAATCTCGGTTTCTGATCTCATGGAGCTCCCAGTCTGCTATAAGAGAGGGAAGAAGCAAGAGTTGTTACTAGAGGTATTAATTCATCCAATCACTAGGGAAACACATATTCTTTGAGCTCCTACCAAGTGCCAGGCACCATTCTAGGTGTTAGAAATACAGCGGTGATAAAACTGACAAGGTTCCTCCCCCATGGTCCTTAGCTTCTAGTGGGGAAGACAGTAAATCCATAATGTTCCAACAAGCATGATAATTTGATAATTTTTGACTAATGGCATATATTTGGGAAAAAATGGAATATAATAGAGAATGGGGTGCTACTTAAGACAGGGGGTTAGGAATACCAACCAAATTACTTTGGCTATGAGTAATAGAAAATCTAACAGTGTCATAAGTACTAGGAGCTTTAATTATTTAAAAAAGTCAGATGTTATTGATTTCATTAATTTAGTGGTGTCATGAAGGACCAAAGGTTTTTTTTTTATCCTTGTAATTTCCCCTCCTTATCATGTTGGAATGTTCCTCAGCATCATGGTTGCAAGAAGGCTGCCAATGCTGAAGACATTACATCTTCTTATGGTTCCCAAAGCCAGAAGGAGAAAGAGGTGAGAGAAAGGAGGGAAGATAACTACCCTCACACACACAGTACCTCCTTCATTGTATTAGAAGAAAATTCTTCCTAGAACTCTCTCAGCAAGCTTTCCCTTAAAACTCACTGAACACAGTCACCTGCCCACATTTAATTCAGTGACCAGAAATGAAGACTTATATTGCCACAACTGGTTCAAACTAATTATGAGTCATCAAATGTAGATTTTTGGTAAGAAAGAAGCAGAATGACCTTGGGCAGGTAAATAATGACTGCCAGGTCAGGGAATCTCACATCTCTGAGATGACATGTGAACTGAAACGTACATGATGGGGTGGCTCCAGTCTTGTGTACTGTGGACCATATGGTGGTGCGAAGGAGGGAACTGGGCAGGGGTGGTTGGTCATGGAAGGTCCAGCAGTAGACGAGACACTCAAGAAACCGAATGAGTCAGCCAGGTGAAGCTATGGGTGGGGATGGGTGGAGGCTTTTCAGGTGGCAGAAGAGGCCAATGGAATGGAAAAGGGATATGAACTAATTTGTAAGCTAGAGCAAGATGAACAAGACAGGCTAGGTCACAACCCCAGAGAAGATGATTTCAGAGGGGAAGATTCAGATTCCAACATTGCAATGGTAGCGATAAAGCAAATGTGTGCAAAAGGAGGGGTACTCAGTTTCATCTCAGGCTTCAGAGGAGACTCCCTCAAGAAAGAGACATTGGGGTTGAATCTCCTGACTGAGGACAAAGAGTCAGCCAGTAAGCAACCAGAGGTGGGAAGGTTTTCCTCGGTATGGGGCACAGCTTGCATGGAGGCTTGGACACTTGAAATAACATGATGAAAACACTCAGTAAGGCATTACCACTGTTTAACATGTGAGTCAGGGCGTGACAGGTGACGAGGCTGGAGGCATGCTTGTGAGCTCTGCTTTATTTAGTTTAGGCCAGTCCTTGCCTTTTAAAAAGTTGAGAGTCCCAGGTAAGAATAGCTGAGTTGGTTTTCTCAGTGTGCAAGGGGAGATTGGGCTTGCATGATCTCCAAAACACTATCAGCTTTTACATTCCTGGTCTCCAGTAGATGCTTGATAGAAGTTTACTGAACAAATGGAACTATGAACAAGCCTCATTCTTTCCTGCTGCCCATAGTTTGCTCCTCCACATAAACAGATGTGCACTGGCACAGCTCTGGGTGTTCCATGAAGTGGCCCTGACCCACCAGCCTCCATCAACTTTCCCCTGCATTGGACTGCCTGCTTCAGCTCTTAACAGAGAAGGCCTTATCTATTTTCACATGTATGTTTCTTCCCTTCCCAACCAGACTGTGAGCCCTGTGAGGTCAGGGTCACATTTCGTGTAACAATGTACCCACCACTATATGGCATATTGGGCACATTGTATACACACAACAAAAATATTGAACTTTCCCGTTTGAAGGATGGACTTGAGTGGATTTTAGTCTCAAAGGAGATTCTCAAATCTCTTGACACTCCCTAGAAGATCAAGAACTATCCAAGAAACAAAAGAGGACGAGAGAATGCTGGGATTAAAAATAAGGGGTGCTTCTCACAATGTTTATAGGAACTTCCTAGTGAGGGTTTTGAAAAATACCACTCTATAAATAAATTTAAGTGTAGTGTTTGAAACATGGGCTTTTTGAGAGAGCTAGGAAGTCCATGAACGCTCAAAAAAAAAAATTAGAAAGGAATTTTGAGTGTTTCAAAGTTAGAAAAATACGTCACTGCCCATGTTGCCTTCCAAGAGCCTTAGTCCTTATGTCAGTCAGTAGAGGCTGGGTTCTGCTAAATTAACAAGTAGTTCACAAATTTCAGTGACTAAGAACAATAAGGAGTTATCTTTTGCTCATGCCCATCACAGGTCAGCAAGGCCCTCTGCTTCTGACAGTCATCCAGCGACCCAGGCTACCATTTTGAATTGCTGGTCACCATGCAGAACAACTTGCATGACCCCATCTACCCATGGAGAGGTTAGGAATTGCAATGCTACCTTGTGCCTGGATCTAGGGACAACCGGGAACAATCAGAGACCCATGTTATCATAACCCTAGTGACCCGAAAGCCAGCCAATGTCAGAGCTCCAGGCATAGGTACTTGTGTTTTCCATACCCCATTTTTCAGAATGAGGCAGATTAATAAGGATGCTAATGGGTATGGCCAAGTACCACAGATCCTGTGCTGCCACTGTAGTCCTCACTCCCTTGCCAAAAAGGGAAACCTTTGCTTTTTGTGAGAGTCTGTGTGTGTATCACCTAGTGTGTGACTCATCCATTCTCTGGCACCGTGTCCCTCCCACTCCGGGAGCTACTCCCAGGCAGGACTTGTCTGTTGGGCTGCAGGGCCCCTGTATGGGGCTGGCTGCTGGCACCAGCCTGGATGCCTCAGCTTGAGAATCCACCATTCGGGGCTGTATTGACTGCTCAGAGGTACAGGAGCCCAGCCTGCTGATTTTGTTGCAAGATACGATGAAGGAAAGCTACTGACACCCTTGTCTTTAGCTGCGAGGGAGTGGGGCATATGTGCCAGTGACTTTGCTGTCAGCTAGCCACAGTGAGTACTCCCACGTCCTCGTTCTCCCTCCAGTCACTTCCTCTGGAGAGGAGCAACCCATTATGATTCCACAGGTGCGAGGCTTTGTAATTTGCGGCTTAATTAATAACACACACAGCGAATAGGTATTAAAAAGGAATTTGGTGATTTGGAGGCATTTTATGTAATTCAAGAAGATCTCTAGTCTGGTATGAAAATATTTTGTTTTTATTACCCTCTGATGTTTTTATGCTCCTCTGATCCCATCCAAATATCAGAGTCCAGGAAATTGAATTCTTTAAAGAAATGATTTTTTTTTCTGATTATCTAAAAATGATTAAGTGCAAATAGAGAAGTGAATTTAGCTGTTTTTTAATCATTATTTCCCCTCATTGACCTTTGTAATGTTTTATCTATAATTCGGACTTATTATTAGCTATCACCACCAGCTTTAAAGTCTCCCTAAAAACAGAGGAATATTTTTCCAACTTCACACACACAAAAAAATCTATGGCATTAAGAATTTGATTCTGAACCTTATTTCCTCAGATCAGACCTCAGGAGGAATGTAAACTTTGGGGAGATTTCTCTTTGTTCCTAAACTTATCTGCATTGTGTTAGTCTTTGGTGACAACGGGGTGGGGACTTCCAAACACTTCTGTTTGCATTGACTTTCACATCATTCCTTAACATACTGCTATGGTTCATGCTTCACTCTTCCTTCCTTTTCCCCAAAGAATTCTTTATCACCATTTATTGAGTGTAAATTTTGAGAATTTAGTTCTGCTTAAAAACTTCAGTCTTAAAAAAACAAAACAAAACAAAACAAAAAACCAAAACAAAAAAAAAAAACAAAAAAACTTTAGTCCTTTGAATTTTGACAAAGTCTGTTTTTCTCCTTCTATAATAAACTCACAAGTGAAAGAGTGAGGCCTGAGTTTATCTGATATTATCTTTGGTTTAAGATGTTGAATTTCCTCTTTCAGAGTTCATTTCTATTCATTTAGTTTGGAAACATCAACTTCTTTGTAGCTCAGAGAAATGAGTCAAGCACATTGCTGGGCAAATAATTAGCCTTAAAAGACTGCAAAACTTGTACTTTATGCCTGTAGGGCTTGTGTCCTAAAAGGGTACTAGCCCAAATCCAGTCCCAACTGTATTTGCATGATACAGAGTTACAGCATCATTGTCTCTTTGCAAAATGAATGAAAATTTGTAAATAGAAACCAAGACTCTTATTCAAAGATATTGAGATCAGGAGACAGCTCCAAGCCTGGTGACTGCTTGATCTTTCTAAAATTGGACCTGGCAGCAGGGGCACAGGGTCTGGGGTGGAAGTGGTTTGCCCTGGGTCCAGGCGATAATGGGTTGCAGTGTCCATGGAGAATATTACTAAATATGTCAAAAAAAAATAATAGAACTGACTGAAATTCAGTCTCCCTTTTATTATCAGCATGTTCCAGTGATTCTAAACCTCCTTACTGATAAAATACTTAGTTCTCACCACTGGGGCAGAGCACTCCCACTACCACCGGTCCCTCCCAACTTGGTACTGCGCCTGCATTATGCAAGATTGGACTTAATTCACCAGTGGAAAAACAGTCTGCTTGAAAACACAGTGGGTATTTCCACAAAACCATAGTTTAGCCTGTGGTCTAATTATCTTTAATCCCATTATTTTGGGAATTCGTGGCTTCTGTGTATTTTTTTAAAAAAGGTGTTTCTCTTAACATAATCTTGATCTCTCAAGCCTTCTGTGTGTTTTTTAAAAAATGTATTTCTGTTAACATAATCTTGATCTCATAAGCCAATGGACTCTGATTTTATTTTTAGTTAGGGCTGAGTCTGTAGAATGATGCTGCCTTTGCATATTATTCTTGAATCATTTGATTGCACTGAACAAGCTCCTAAATCATAGTACTTTAAGTCTCAAAGGTGATTTTAATATAAAAATATTAGGATCTCTCATAGAACCCAGGGCATGAAATACAAGGTTCTGAGCATCACCAGGACTCTCTTTTTAAAAACTCTTTTTCCTTCTTGGTGTATTTGCTTCATTTTGTACTGTTCTTCTTTTTGTGATTGGGTTCTTCTCAGTTGCATACCACTAGAGTCTGGTCTCAAGTCTGTGTATTAGTATCACCTGGAGAGTTTTAAAAAACCCATTCATCTCTAAATGTTAACAATTAATGTGATCTAGGTGAAGGGATGTGTAGGTATTAACTGTAAAATTTTTTCAACTTTTCAGTAGTCATGAAATTATTCAAAATAAAATTAAAAAGTTTTTTGAGAAATACTAGTGTTTGGACCTTGCCAGAAATTCTGCTTCAATGGTCTAGACTGGGGTCCAGACATTGGCAATTTTTGTCAAAGTTCCTTTTGGAATTCAACCAAAGTCAGAAATTACTGCTATTGGCTACATCTTCTTCAGCTTCTCTAGAAGAGAATGAGTCCCATTTCTTTTCTTCTATCAAAGTTTGAAAATCACTGGGGTGAGGACTAGTCAGCCTAGCTGGGGTCAGCTCTGGCCAGGTCCATCTTCAAAACAGCTGCATTCACAGTAAACATAAGAGATGTAAGCAATTTCCAGGTAAAATTATTAATTACAATAATCATAACAGTTGTCCAGTATATTCTTCCAAAAGAAACGCAAATTGAGTTCTGAATGGCTAAATTCGAGAACATCTGGCTGTTGAGAAGTCAAATACTTTTTTTTTTAAAGATTTCATTTATTTATTCATGAGAGACATAGAGAGAGGCAGAGACTTAGTCAGAGGGAGAAGCAGGCTCCATGCAAGAAGCCCGATGTGGGACTCTATCAGGGGACTCCAGGATCATGCCCTGGGCCGAAGGTAGATGCTCAACCCCTGAGCCACTCAGGTGTCCCAAAATACTTTATTTTCTATTATAGCTATTAGTATTTTTAAAAAATATTTATTTATTTATTTATTTATTTATTTATTTATTTGGCAGTAAGGGCAGAGGAAGAGGGAGAAAGAGAATCTTAAGCAGATTCTGTGCTGAGCATGGAGCCTGATACAGAGCCTGATCTCACAACCCTGAGAGCACAACCTGAGCAGAAACCAAGACTCAGAAGCTTAACTAACTGAGCCACCCAGATGCTCCCCAGTTATAGCTATTTTTCAAATTATGTTTTTGTTTTGAAAGAATGGTATGATGGAGAATGATTTTGTTCTTTTGGAAGTTTTGTGTAGCAAAATACAAATTAAATCTATTTAACAACAAAACAAAAACTCTGTCCATATCAAAGCAGGCCTTATACATTGTTATGCATTAAATACCATGAATGAAGGTTCCTTCTAGAAATAATGTTCCTTTGCAGCAAGTATACATTTTACGCCATAACACATCTGGTGTTTAAAATGTCACATTTCCATAAAGAAGTTCTCTGAATTGGTTATGAGTTTGAGTTACATCTCCTGCCACTCTGATCTTGCAGGAAATTCTCAGTCTTATCTTTGAAGGGGCTACGTCTTGAAGGGTCTAGTGAGAATTCTGAGAGTCTCACGCAGTCTCAAATTCTCTCACAGCTGAAAGAGAGTAGTGCTATCACTGCTGTGCAAGCTTTGGGGTGTAGACATTTTGTGATGGTCCCTAATGATGTGAATCTCTGATTTTTGGTGCCCTGTGCCCCTGAGTTACCCATGGAAGTGTCTGTCATCTCCAGGGGCATGGGGTTGCTGATGACCAGGGAGTCTGTGCTCTGAGGATGGTGGAGGGGTGGCAATTGGTGAAGAGAAGCAGGAGATGCATGAAGCTAATGCAAAACGGCTGAACATGGCTAATGCCATGTTTCCAGCTGGTTCCAAAAAGAAGACGGGGCTTCCTGTAGCAAGAACTGGACTTCAGGAGAGAGAAAGACTCTATGATTCTGAAGGAATCAGAGCAGGAAGCAAGAGGAGGAAGAACAACTGAAGACAGAGGAGAGTTCTCCATGCCCTTGGGAAGTTGCAGAGACGGGGCTTGATCTGGATATTTTTTGACCACTGAGAAAATAATCAGTGTGATCTCAGTGGACCTGGCTGCCAGAGAACAGAGTGGGGCACAGAAGTGTCAGTGTGGGCAATGCAGGCGGAGTATTGAGGCCCAAAGACCAGCAGTGATAGTTCAGCTCAGCAGAAGCCAGCATGGTTGGAGGCTTATCCCAGCATGCTTCTCTTCTGATGCTAAAGAATAGCATCCCTGGGGAGAAAGGAAGAGGAAAAGATGGAACAAATATCGAATTGATCAAAAGAGACCTGTTTAAACTGAAAATCAATTAAGTTTGCCTTGTATGGGCAAATTTTCCATCATTGGTTCAAATAGGGCTCCAGGCCTAATTAAATTCAGTTATAGTGCAAAACCCAGTGACATCTGTGCCAACCTAGTTTCATGACTGCTAAATATGTACTGCTACACATAATCATCTTGGTTTTTGTGTACTTGTCCTAAAGACTTTAAATACCTACTCTTCCTCAGTGGATTTATCCAGAAGGTCTTGCTTCCTTCCAAAATGCTGGCTTTGCCTGGGACGCTCCGCCTCACTCACCTGAGCCTGGCGTGTCTCAGTTCTCTTCGCCTGCTGTCCTTCTTATGGGATCTCATCCGTGAAAGCCATTTCAAAACTTATTTGGTGCTAACGTCTCTTCTGCCCAAGGACTGAATTACAAAAAAATCACCCTTTGAATAGAAACACCAATGCCTTGACTATTTACTCATTCATTCAAACATCCCCAATGAGAATAAAATAAGCATTTTTTAGGCATTCAAAGATTAAGAGAGTTTGCCATACAGAAATATTCATTAGAAGAAGTTTAAAAAGATACATTCCAGCAAGAAATAAAGTGAAAAGAAAAGTCATGTAATACAAGAAAATATGTAAAGAACCAAAAGAGGAAGGACGTTTTTTTTCTAAGCATGGGATTGAAAAAAATGGAAATATCCTGTCAGGTTTAGGAGTTAAATGTCTCTTTGTTTTCATACTGTTTTTTTATTTTTGAAGATCTACTTAAGGACATTTT